CTGCCACTCAGGCTGGAGTGCAGTGGCACAATCACAACTCACTGCAATCTTGACTTCCTTGGGCTCCAGTGATCCTCCCACCCCAGTCACCCGAGTAGCTGGGACCACAGTCACATACCATCAGGCCCAGCTAGTAGGATTTCTGACGTTAGAATCATAGGGCTTTTGCTTAAGATAGATAGGACCTCCGACATTAGAATCATAGGCTTCCATTTAAGAATTGCTTAAACAGATCTTGAATTCAGTAGAACAGTTAGTATCAACAGTCTCTACGCTTTGGCCCATTCCCAAACCCCTAAAAACCCTGTCCTCAAACTCTTCTGGGAGACAGATTTGAGGTTTCCTCCTATCTCCTTGTTTAGCAGCCCTGTGATTAAACCAGTGCAACCTGGTGTCTTGGCGTATTGATTTACCATGCACATAGGGCAACAGTCCTATTACGGTTGCATCACCACTACCACCAGACCAGTCTGATTTTCATCAGCCAGTTCCTCTGTCTTGGTATAGAAAAATAACGGATGTGCTTAAGGAAAAAGCAGTCGACAAACACTTCATTGGTTTCAGAGGGCTAAGGGAATAATATAATCAATGGGCTAGCAATTGCAAGCAATTATTTTTAAATGGTTCTATTATAGCCATTCATTAGGACTATAGATTTGTCATCCAACTTATTTTTCTGTGTACCTAGCATGAAATTTGAAGAATGTAATCTAAAATAAGGACTAGAGTTCTGTTGACTGTTTTGGGATATCTTTTTTTAATCAGTTTATTCTAAGGTTCTGATCTTTCTTTAAACATGACCCTTAGGAGTAATATTTTAAATTAATTGAGAGAATCAGATGTTTCTATTATTAATATTAGTTTTACTTCTCTTTCTGTAACATTTTAAATCTATTGGTCTGATTTGTACTCCACACAGCAGTTGATGTATCATTGTCATCAGTCACCAAATTGTAATGTGTCTTATATGTTACGAAAGCAAGTTCTTTAAATCAATCCTAAAGTGGGGGGCAATAATGTGAAATAGAAAAAATATTCTTTTCAGGTGTGATTTTGTGGTTTCCTGGTGAGTAGAAGGGTCTTAAAGAGTTGCTCAGCCAAGTGGCCCCCTTACTGGCCTCCTGTTGTTTGCTAAGAGTGTTTTTTGGCTGTGGCCTAAATTTTATGCACCCCCCTTCTTTTTTAAAGAATTTCTAAACTACTTTCTTACTATCCAGAAAGTCCCAGAAAGCAAATAGGTTGTTTTCAGACTATTCCTGGAAATCTTGTTAATCTCCAGAGCCAACTCCTCAAATCTGATTGGGTTGAGATGAGTAACTGAGGACAGTTTCCAAGGGCTGAGTGTTGACACATGCTTTTTAGCATTTCATGACTGCAGATCTGTAAAAAGGGTGTTAGGATTAGGGTGGCCTGGAGTGTACGTGAGTGTAGGTAGAAGGTAGGATTATCAAGTAAGTGGGCTGAAGTCAGAGACATCCTCTTTTCTGATATGCCATTATGATCTATGGAAACCAGATGTTTTTGTATCGAGAAAAAATGATGAGTTTCAGTCCCTGTCTTAGAAAGTTCCATTGAATATACAAAGGATACCATTTAGAGAAATTCAAGACTTAAATAGATACTGTTAACTTCTTGTTAAAAAAAAAAATGGCAATTTCCCCAAGTATATCATATTTATATATACACTGTTTATCTTCTTCTAGGAAAACAAAAGCTGTTCATTGGAATGAAAATTCTGAGTTTTATTTGTCCGTTAACTCAGTAATTGGTGGTATTCTCATATAATTGAACATTGAAGCTTTGTTTCCTTACAAGAAATTATACTGGATAATGTGTATGTCTGTGATACACTATATGAAGGACTTCTGGGTTGGGTAGGGAGAAGGAATTTGATGGTAGCTGTTGTAGTACAATATGACTAGGAAGTGCTGATGAGCAATAGAAGTTATAGTGTTAGGAGAGCAAGTTCTTTAAATCAGTTCTAATGGGGAAGTTCATCGGACATCAACATCAGCCCTTCCCTGCCACTTAGCTCTCTCTCCTACAGAAAGCTGTCATTTTCTTCCCTATTTGTATTCTCTTTCTGGTCCTTACAAGAAATTCCATAGCTGTGAGAAGCCCTCCCTTCTTTGGCAGATCTCCATTTACCCCAAAAGGTGAGCATCTTCATTTGTTAGTGCTGTAAATACTGTTTCTTCTTTCTTTTGTCCTTACCACCTTTAATGCTGCTGTTGATTTCTCTCTTTCCAATCAGATTTTTTTGTTCTTTCTGGCCGTCTTCTATCATTGAAAACTTTTCCTGCATAGGAGCTGTAGTATAGAGTGATTTTTCAATTGTCTCAAGTTTTCCATTAACAAGAATATCATCTCATATTTATGAATCACATAATTGATACCAGCTTCAAAGAAGCAAGCTAACTTAGCCTAGACCTTGCAGATCACCAGGAATAGTTTTGTTACCAAGGCATTGTGCAAACTGGGAAAATAAATAAAAGCACCCTCTTTGGGCGGATGAAGTACAAAAAGTTCCTCTCTAGGTGGATAAATTAGAAAAATGTCCCTCGTCCAAAGTAAGGAAGTCTGGGAATGTGGCTTGAATGGGGACTGAATTTTAGCCCCATTTGACCGTTGTTCAGGGTATGGTACACAAGTGCTTGCAGCAAATTAATTCAATTAGAATACATTTCCTATAGAAATAGTATTATAATTGTATGTCATGCTCTTAGTCAAGGCTTCATAATAAAATACAGTAATATTCAACAAAGCAAGCTATAAATCTTCTGTAATACTTTGTAAGTAAAAAATTAATCTCTCAATAGTAATCAGAGAAATTTAGCCCTGTAATGGGTTTTAAAGAAAATTTATTCATATTAAGAATGGACTGGTGGAGAAGTGAAAAACACGCCCCTCTCCTCCCTTGCCACCTCCAGGCAGAGAGAGTTACGCAGAGAGAGCACTGACTAGTGATGAATGTTTAACATACTTGGCATTACATTTGTTGATTTTCTAAATACATTTTTATCGAATATTTATTTCACTTGTGGAAGTCTGAAATATTTTATTTCTTTTTGTTATGTATTAATGTCATTAAAACAGTGAACACTTAAAAACAGACACTAGTTTTTCTTTGATCTTTATTTTATTTCATTAGAAATATTGTGAGTTTTTAATGAGTTACAAGTAGACCAAAGTGGGTGACCATTTTTCTGTGGAGCTGGGTGTATGTCTGATTGGGAAACTGTGGAAAGAGACTCTTCTGTTCTTCCTGACAGGAGAGGCTGAGATGAGGATAAAGCTCTGCGTAGTGCTCTATGTGTCATAGGAAAGATCCATGCCAGCTAAGTAGATTCCAAAGCCCAAGTCATCCCTGGACTCTGGAAAGTTTCACGTGGGGGCAGATGCCATGACTCTAACACACATGTTTCAGTTTTCCTTTAGTCTGAGAATTTCCAGTCATTATCAAACACACATATTCTCCTTGTATTCTGAAAATGATTTATGCTTATGTGTTAGATTTTGTAAATCTAAATCTATTTGATTAAAGCCTTTGTGCTTTTTCTCCTACCTAAAATTAAAAAAAAAAAAAAACCAAGCATATCTTCTATTTAATTGGGAGAGTGAAGATTTACTGACTCCACAGATGACCCAAATGGAGGAAATGGATTATATCATAGACCCGTGGAATGTCTCGTGGTTGTGCATATTTTGAAATACACACCACTGATTAGTGAGGCTCCGGATTACCAGATAGTCGGACTCATCTTTGTACACTAGGACTTTCACTGTTTTTCTTCAGTCCTTATTTACAGTACCAATTACCTTATGAAAAATCTTTCTTTAGCTTTAGTCTCCTTTCTCAATTATCACAAAGTCTGAAATAACAAGATTCAATTCACTGGGGTTTGATTTTATATTTGTCTCCTGCCTTAATCATCATTGCATTTAGTTACAAATATACTGACTTCTTTTTTTTTAATTGTGCTTTAGATTCCGGGGTACATGTGCAGATCATGTAGGATTGTTGCATAGGTATATACATGGCAAGGTGGTTTGCTGCTTCCATCCCCCTGTCACCTACATCTGGCATTTCTCCCCATGTTATCCCTCCCCAACCTCCCCATCCCCTCCACTGTCCCTCCCCTAGCCCCCACAACAGACCCCAGTGTGTGATGCTCCCCTTCCAGCATCCATGTGTTCTCCCTCTTCAGCACCCACCTATGAATGAGAACATGTTGTGTTTGATTTTCTGTTCTTGTGTTAGTTTGCTGAGAATGATGGTTTCCAGATTCATCCATGTCCCTACAAAGGACATGAACTCATTGTTTTTTTATGGTTGCATGGTATTCTATGGAGTATATGGTGCCACATTTTCCCTGTTCGTTCTGTCTTCAATGGGCATTTGGATTGGTTACAGGTCTTTGCTATTTTAAACAGTGCCACAATGAACATATGTGTGCAGGTGTCTTTATAATATTATATGGCCTTAGAAGGGATTTTGTTGAAATCTTAACTGCTGGGGATGAAGAAGGATAAAAAAACCAATTCCTCATGAGCTACAGAGTATGGTTAAGACCAGTATTACTGGCCAAAAAGAAAGTTTGATTTTATACATTAGCTCTCTTCTGTTAATCATGATAATCAGACTGAAGTATTTAAGAGTTTACTTAATTGAGTTTTTTAGTTGTGAAAGAGAAAACAAAGATGTTTTACATTAAAAAAAATTTAGAGGTATTACACTTTTCAAATCTTCAGTGTTTTTGCACACCTGAAAGACACTGTTTTGTGTTTGTGATGTTTCTTATTTGCATTATGACAGATACATTGATTGTATATTATTTCATAAAGTTATTTTATTTCTCCGTTGCATTTTTTCCTATTAAAACTATACAGTCATTTAGATGAACAGGGAGGACAGTGTCTGTATTCTCTTCTCACCGCCATCTTCAGTAGTCGTACAAAGGTGATGTTTTATGTAAGAATTTCTGTGTTTCATTTCGCAGGTGGGGAGCATTAAGCGGGAAATGACCTTCACATTTCAGTCAGAGGATGTAAAACGTGACTGTAGTAAAAAAATGTCTCATCAGCACGTGTTCTCCTTGGCCATGGAGGAAGATGTGAAAACAGCAGACACCAAAAAAGCCAGCCGGGTCCTTGACCATGAAAAAGAAAACACTCGCTCCATCTGTCTCCTGGAGCAAAAAAGAAAAGTTGTTTCCTCCAATATTGATGTTCCTCCGGCAAGGTAAGGGAACATTAAATCTCACATGTGTCTGCCCCAGGAACTTGGTGGAGAGCATGCATAATTTCTGCCAGTATACAGACTCTCTTCAGTATATAGACATATGAAAGGTTTTCTGCCAAGAATTTTTTTCTATTGCTTGTGTAAAATAGAGCAGGTGGCCCTACTCTTCAAAACTGACTTTGAGGCTGCTGTAGTTGGAACTATTGTAGCTCTATAAAAGAATTTTTTATTCAGTTTTGATAAATGAATAATGAGCAAAGGAATATATGCAAAAAAAATAGGATGAAACATTGTATGTAGGGCTGAGCATACATTAAGTAGGACTGTAGCCACTTAAAAGCAAGTATACACACATCTTTGGTCAGAGGTTGGTAAATTTTGGCTACAGGCCACATTCAGCCTCTGGTCTGTGTTTGTGTGGCCTGTGAGATAAGAATGGTTTTACCTTTTTTTTCTTTTCCCAAATAGAGATAGAGTCTGGTTCTGTCACCCAAGCTGGAGTGCAGTGATGCAAATGTAGCTCTCTGCGGCCTTGAACTCCTGGGCTCAAGCAGTCCTCCTGCCTCAGGATCTGGAGTAGCTGGGCTGGGACTGCAGGCATATGCAGCCATGCCCAGCTAATTATTTTTATTTTTTGTAGAGATGGGGTCTCACTATGTCACCCAGGCAGGACTTGAACTCCTGAGCTCAAGTGATTCTGCCACCTCAGGCTTCCAAAGTGCTGGGATTACAGGCGTGAGTCACAGTGCCTGGCCTGGTTTTACATTTTTAAAGGCCTAAATGAAAAACAGGTGACACAGACCGCAGGTGGTCTGCAAAGTCTAAAACATGTAAAAAAAAAAAAAAAAAAGTTGGTGATAGCTGGTTTATATCATGATTATCTTTGTACGACAAATCTACCTTAAAACCCAACCAAGACGGTTTATCTGAAATATCAAAAGGCCTTTATCTTTCTAAAAACAAGGGGAAAAAAAGACCTTTGTCACGTTATAATTCTATTTAAACCACACACCCAATAGCACTGAACCAAAGGACAATATTCTGGCAGAATGAGAGTGGCAGTGGTGGCACAAACATATTAGATCTTTTACTTTTTTGTGTATCAGTTGTCTCATCTAGAAAACAAGCTCTACGTCGGCAGGGATTTTAGATTACTCTGTTCATGCTTTATCCCTAGGCCTAGAACAGTGCTTAATTTTGTTCTGAGGAGTGAATGAATATTTGTCAGATAAAAAAAAGAAAGGAAATGCTGTAGCATAAGAGATTGCTTATTTGTCAGATGAAAAATATTTGTCAGATGAAAAAAAGAAAGGAAATGCTGTAGCATGAGAGATTGCTTATTTGTAATACGTGTGCCACATTTTCTTGCCAAAAATTATTTATAATGAAACTGACAGCATATAGCAATTGTTTGAGAAGTCCTGCATTTGTCCAAGTGGATTTTAACAGCCAACCAGGAAAACAGCACCTTTGGAAAAGGATGTGCCTTTCCTTGCCTGTTCACTTTTTGTAATTAAAGTTTTATTTCTTTCTATATTAAATCAAAAGTATCTTTTCTAGAAAATTACTGTTTTCTCCTGTTGCCAAATTTGTCAGACATTCAAAATTATAAGCCTCTTAGTTTTCCTTAACCTTTAATTGAAGATTTTCACATATTCATTACTTCTGTTTCACTGCTTGGGATTATTTACTTTTCTAATTTTTTTCATATAAATACATGTTAATTTATTTAGGATTATTTCCTACTACTGCGGCATCTTTGCGAAACGTTTTATCATAGCCTGACCCTCATAGGCATCTCAGTTTGTATTTGTTGTTTGGTTGACTCATAGGAAAATGGCATGTTAACAGTTTGCAATGTGAAGAGCTGTGCTTTCATTTTCTTCCTAAGCCTGTAGGGCAAAAGTTAGACTTCCAGTGTCAGTTTAGTACCAACTTGCAATTCTGTAGGACTTATTCTACTTAAAAATTTCAGTAGACCATTGTATATGTTAAAAGACCTGGAATTAATCATTTTAAATTGCCATAGGTTGCTTTAAGTGTACCTTTATTCTTTAATTCCACCTCACTTGGAGCACTTGCTGGGGAAAATAATGAAAAGAGGAAGAAGAAAGATGTTTTCTGCCTTTTCTGACTCCTGGTATGTGGGATATTTTCCACCTTTTCAAATTCACTAAATGCACTTAAAAATACATGAGCACATGCCAGTGTTATTGTGAGGTTCTTAAACAGTGTGGGAAAGTTAATTAGGTTTTAAATCCATTAATGTACAGCAGAAATCCCCCAATGACAAGGTATGATTAAGATGTGTTAATCTATTATAGGAAATACTACTTAGGCTTCATTGTTTGGGGTGTCTACTAATATACTTGTTTTCATTGCTATAGTAAGAATTTAGACATCATAAATACAGTATGCCAGCAGCTGGTGAGATACATTGCTTTTTTTAAAAAAAAAAAAAAGATGAAGGAATCAAGCATTGTGGATTATAATGATCTAACTCTCAAACTATTTCCATTTACTGTTACCAAGTTTAATAAATGTCAAACTTTCCACTGGCATCTGAATATATCAATATTTTGTTTTAAAGAAACTTCTTTACCTGATACGGTAGGAAGATATAGGATTTTCCTATTGTTTACTAAGGAGAAATATATCTGTTGACAGTGTATAAATAATGAAATTTGAGCAAATCTACAGTATAATTAAGATACTATAAGGTATAAGGAAATCTATATGTGATTGGCCCATGCATTCATGGGTTCTGCACCTATGTATCTAACCAACCACAGATCAAAAATATCTGGAAAAAAAAATGCCTGTACCAAACATGTACAGACTTTATTTCCTTGTCTTTATTCCCTGAATAATACAGTATAACAACTATTTACATAGTGTTTACATTGTGTTAGGTATTATGAGTAATCCAGAGCTGCTCTAAAGTATACCAAAGGATGTGCTAGGTTATATGTAAATACTACGGCATTTTATATAAGAGACTTGAGCGTCTGCTGGTTTTGTATCTGTAAGGAGTCCTGGAACCAACCCCCATGGATGCCGAGTAATATCTATATCTGTATCTTATGAAATATGTAAATGTTTAAATATATATATATATATGATATTTTGGTCAATTTCTAAAAAAGGCAGGATAATCAGTTTAGGCTTACAGAGTGTAAAGTTCCCAATCATTTAAAATCAGTTCCCTGTAATGTTTCTCACTTATCTTTTGCTTATTTCCATTAAAACTAAGATTTTTGTTGAACTTTACTTTCTGTAGTTTGTAAAATGAAACTCAAAGTTTATTTTCTGTGGTTTATATAATGGAAGCAATACACGTATTTCAGTTGCTTATTTCATGTAACTTGAGAGATCTGGGAACCCCTTCCCACATTACTCTCTATGCCTCACCATAGTTCCACATCACTAATTTCATCTCCTGCCTCCATTCAAAAGACGTTTCTTGAGTACCTGCTATGAACTCACTACTCAGTAAAAGTAATGAGTGAGGTAGGTGCCAGCCCTCCTGGAGGTTATGGTGGAATGAGAGGGACAGAAACATATGTAGCTAATTTCAAATAACACTTCCTGATTTGCTCCCTTCCCATTAGGAATGGGGGGAAATTTGTAATTAAAGGAGAATCTTTTAATATTAAGAAAGTTATCAATATGACACATCTATTTAAAAGCCCAATTTTTTTTAATTGATGTCTTTTTCAAGATAGGGTTGATTGAAATAGAGAAGGAAGAACACATTATCAATATAAAATCCCTATTTGTTTACCCAGTATTTGAGAACCAATTTTAAAGTTGCTAGTTTCAGAAAAATATAAATTTAAGTACGTTATTAATCCAGATGTTTTAGGCTAGGTCATTGGAGACACAAATGCCAAGACCCTACTAAAATATGCAAATGTTTTAGTAGGAGACACACCTGAGGGAGAAATGGGAGGGGCGAGGCCAGGAGGGAGGTGCATATCAATTTAAGGTGCTAGTCCTAGCACAGTGATGGAGAGAGGATGGAGGTTGGTTGGAAGAGAGTTGGATGGAAGTGTCCTAGGTAGCCAGGCAAGGCCCTCAGGAGTCCTGCATTGGTATTCCTGCTGTGCTCCATCATTTGCTGGGAGTAGCATGTGGGAGCTGTGTCCTTGACACAAATGCAGCAGATGGTTTCTGCAGCTAACAGCTGGGCCCTTGGTCAGTTAGCTCTCTGTTACTGGAGATCTATGAGGTGTGTTCTCATGACTGCCTTCCTCCCACCCCACAACATTGTACTTTATATATTAAAAGTGCCCTAGACAGTGCAGGCTTAAGACACGGGCCAATCTCCCTGCCCTCTGGCAACCTGAGTGATCAGTGCAGACTCCTTGGAATCCTCATTAAGAGGGCCCTAAGCTTCCTGTGAAAAATGGTAACTGATTGTTGGTCCTGGGATTCTAAAATTAATACTTCTGAGTCATGAGAGGAAAGAATACAAACTACCCCTCTTCTGAGTTTCCTGAGGTTGGTAGGAACAAATCTTTACTATAGGAGAGTCTGCTTACCCCTGGGATATTGCCTGCTTGATTTCAAGGAAAAAACACTACTTTCTTTTTTGAGGGTGACTTGGAGTTAAGTGCATTACAGAGTTGGGTATTCAAAGTATTCAACTTTCTTTAGTAGAGAAAACTAAACAGAAAGAGAGGGCAGGAGCCTGTGGGAGCACATAAGTGAGCAGTGTTTCTCTTTGGAATTAAAGATCTATCATTAACAGAAAGAAAATTTATTCCCAGCTTTTATGATCACTGGGGAGCAGTAATTTGGGTTGGGAGGTAACAAGTACTAAAAGTATCGATGCTAATTATTGAAATAACAATCACCTAAGAGCTGATCTGTTTCTGAAGGTTTCATCATGTTAATTTAGTAATACCTGGTTACAAAAGATAAAACATAGCCCCCTCCAAAAGAGATGGTGAATGGACAGTGAAAAGTGAGTAAATATGTAGTCTTAAGTATTTTTT